GCCGGTGCCCACCTTCGGGTGTGATCGAAGCCCACGGCCAGGGGGGCGGGCGGCTCCTCGTCCTCCTCGTCCTCGTAGGCGCCCTGGGGCTCAGGCGTGGGGGACACGGTGTCGTCCTGAGACTTCCCGGCCAGGCTCTCCTCGTCGTCCTCCTCCAGGTCCTCCTCCTCCTCCTCTTCCACGTCCCCCCGCTTCCCGCGGGCCAGGCCGGGGCACTGGGAGGCGCCGTCCAGGTCCTGGACCTCCGGCCTGAAGTGACACGGGAGGGAGTTGGCTGCAGACCCCAGAGGCCAGCGGCGCGGCTTCAGGTGGCTTGAACTCCACTGCCCTCCACCCAACGGCCTTCCCGCTGCCTTCGAAGAGAGCCTGCCTTCCCGGTCACTAAGCCCGCAGAGCTGCGGTCTGGAGCGGCTGGTTTCCACCCTTGGCCTCAGCCGCCATCTTTGTGGATCAGGGAGAGAAGGGAGCCTGCTGGAGGCAGAGCACGGACCGCTCGGCAGCGCGAACACGGGCCGTTCAGGGGCCCGGAGAAGGAAGTCACGGCCCGCCTGTGGGGAAGGGGGCCCTGGGCGCGGGCGCTCGGGTCGGACCCCGCACGAGGAGCACAGGAGGTTTGCCAGCCCAGCCCTGACGGGTGCTTGCTGCCCCCCGCCCGCCGTGAGGGTGTGAGGACGGGGCGGCCCCAGGCGAGGGACCCTCTGCAGATGGAATGTCTGGGGTCGAGGGTTCTGGATGTCCAGGGCTGGGCCGCTGTCAGCCCTGGAAGAAGCCAGGATGAGTGTGCTTCAGAGGCTGGGGGAGTGTCCCCTGCAGCCCAGACCCCACCTCATCTCCCATGCGGTCACTGCAGCCGGGAGAGCCTTTCCGACTCTGGGTCCTTGTATTGAAAGGGAAGGACAAGCAGAGAGCGGGAGGGAGGGCGCAGTTCTCTCAGGAAACGTCACTGGGGTTCGTCTGATTCGTCTGCGAGCCTGGGACCAGGTGCCGTGGCCGCAGGTGGGCTGGGCCTGAAGCTGCCTGGGCAGGGGGTGGAGGGGACGGGGAGGGCCAGGCTCACGCTTCCCGAGTCCGAGCTCTGAGTCCCAGACCCGCTCCTTCCTGGACCTCCCACGGCCCGCAGAAACTAGCCCACTGCTGTGGGGGAGACCGGAGGCCCCGCTCGGGGCATCGGGATGAGGGGGGACATCCTCTCTGAGTGATCACTGCCTCCAAACGCAGGGGAGGCCCGGGGCTGGGGAGACCCCGACGGCCCTGCTTTGAGCCGCCTGGCCTTTGCTTCCTGCTTCTCCACGGGAGAGCGTACAGACACCGGCGGTCCTCCCGCCCTCCAGGACGAGCAGAAGCCCGCCCCGCTTCCCGCATCGCTGGGCGCCCGTGCTGGTCACTGGGCACACGCCCGTCCACCGGGGCGAGGCCCATGGGGCCGGGTCTGGCCTCTGTTCCTGGGTCTCGATAGGGCCCCCTTGGGTGGGGCCTTGCCTTCTCGGAGCCCACGCCCTCGGGGCGACGTGAGAACGGCCCCCACGCTGAGGGCTGATGAACAGCACAGGTGGGGAGCCCAGGCAGACGGGGCTCCGGTCATGTTCGGAGCCGTGTGTGGCTGCCATGCGGGTCAGCCCTCTGTGGGAGCAGGGCGTCTCTGTGCTCCCAGCCCCACCCACACAGAGGGTCTGCTCATCCGTAGGAGGCCTGCGCCCAGCACCAGTGCTCAGTGGCTGGGGTTGGGGGCACAGAACAGAGGTCTGGCTGGAGACAGGTGCCGACAGAGAGGACAAGGGTGGCTGCCAGGCCTCCAAACAGCTGCTCGGATGCGGGGGTGTCGCCGGGGGCCACCATCACCAAGTATCACAGCTCAAACAGGCCTGGAGTCTAGACGTCTGAGGTCCAGGCGTCACAGCGCTGGTTCCCTCGGGGCCTGGGGGACAGAAGCCCTCCCAGGCCTCTCCCAAGACTCCGGTGGTTTGTGGCCGCCCTTGGGTTTTCTTGGCTTGTAGACGCATCCCCTGACCTCAGCTTCACCTTCACGTGGCATCTCCCGGGGTGCGTGTCTGTGTCTAGAGTTCCCCTTTTTATAAGGACATTGGTCCTATCGGATATGGGCCACCTGACTCCAGTAAGACCTCATCTTAACTCATGAGTTCTGCAGAGACCCTCTTTCCAAATAAGGTCACACACGGAGGTGCTGGAGGTTGGGACTTCAATGCGGGAATTCTGGGGGGTACGATTCAGCCCAGAAGTTTATGTCTGTGTGGGGCCAGGAAGCCTGGCAGACCCTGAATTCTCTGGCTCTGGATGAGAACCAGAGAACGTTAACACTGGCCCCAAACTGAACTCTCAATATCCCACCACTTATGCACATTAGTGGACAGATGTCAGCTGTGACCGTGGTTCCCACCACGATGTGGCGGCACCTGCAGGGGGCTCCCAGCTCCCGGGATGAGCCAGGATGGGCCATCCGGGAGCCGGGGCTTGTGGCCCAGCTCTGCTCCAGGCTGTCTGGGTGGCAGGGGCCAGCCTGCTGTGTCTGAGCCGAACTTGCTGCCCCACACCCCGGGGGCCCTGCTTGAGATGCTCTGCTCCCCGGGTGGGGGTGGATCCACCCCTTTCCCCTCCAGGGACGCGCCTCTGTCCTGGTGGCCCTCCTGGAGTGTCCTCCTGGTGGCTGAGAGCTGGGCCTGCCACCCGAACCCAGGGCGTGGGAGCCCTTCCGGTGCTCCCCCTGCCCCACGGAGGACGCCCCCACCACATCCTTGTTGGGTCTCCTCTGGCTTTGCTGGGGGCAGGGAGCCACAGTCCAGGGGACGGCCTTTAATAAGCGGGATGTGCCTCGTGGCCTGGTCGTGGGCTTCAGTGAGGCCTGGCCCCGGGTGCTCATGTCTGTACTGGGCTAACAACGGACAGCTCTCGGGCGGAGCCGCAGGGCTGAGGAGGATGGACAGGGCTGTAGAGTAGGAGGCTGCTCCGGGATCCAGATCTCCGCTGCCCAGCAGGGTGGGGCTCTGGGAAGCACAGCCCATGCCAGCCTCTCCCACCGACTCCTCCTCTGAGCCCACCTGGGGGTCAGGTGAGGCCTCCCCTCTCAGGGCACGGATTTAGGGCTTAGAAGAGCCAGGAACAGTCCAGGTACCACATCTGTCTGTCGATCGGACAGGTCTTCCCAGTGCCCTACTCTGCCCCCGGGAGAACCCGTGAGCGGGAGATGCAGCTGCCCTGGGGGAGGCCGGGTGTCTGGGGGGTGGGGAGGGCCCCGAGCTCCAGGGGACGGCGGGGGCCCTGGCTCTGGGCTCTGGGCCTGCCTGTGAGGCTGGAGCAAGTCTCCGCCTTCTCTGGGCCTCCTTTTCGTCCGCATAATTAGGGGAGCACACCCCTGAGGACTCTCAGAATTTGGGTGTCTCTGATTCTCGGGTCAGCGGAGCCTTGGGAGGGAGGTTATGCACAACACCCTCCACCCTTAATGAAGTCCTTCACTTTCCCAGTGTGTGTGTGTGTGTGTGTGTGTTTTAAAGGAGCAGTGCTCTTAAGGGACCTTTCATGCCTCGGATGAAGTGAGAATGTTCTCAAGTTTCAGGGGCGTGGCAGAGCTCCTGGCAGCAGCCCTCACCTGGCCGGCGTTCTGCTGCCCATCTGTCAACATCCAGGCCAAACTGGGCTGTTTATCCTAAACGGCCCCCGTGCTGGCGCTGCACCGAGCGTGTGACACACACCGCCACACACACCACCGGTCGAGGGTGCTCATTCTGATCCCTCTCAGGTGAGAGACTGAGGCAGAGGGGGTGGAGCGGGCGGCAGAGCGCGTGGGCCTGCCCTCTGCAGGGGGCCCCCCTGCTCAAGCACCGGGCGGGGGCACCTGTCTGGGCGTGACTGTACCTCCGGGCCCCAGGAGGGGCGTCTTACCGTTTGTCTGTTCGTGATGATGCTTGGTTCATCTCGCTGTTGGCGATGAAGTTTCTGATTTCAGAGAAATACGAGTCTTCCTTCTCGTCTAAAAGTGCGTGGTTGTCCGACTCGGAGGTGGGGGAGGAGGCGCCGGTCCCCAGGTGGTTCGTGAGGACCCCGGAGTGCTGGCTCACTGCGGGGTGCGGGAGCATCAGAGGAGGTGTGCCCCGCGGAGCCCCTCCCTCCGGGGCACACGGGGGTGGGGTGGTCAGCCGGGCGAGGAGGGTGCGTGTTTGGGGTGCTCCCAGGGAACCCACTTCTTAGGAAGACCCGCGAGCACGAACTCTCCTTGATGAAAACGAGTTGAGGGGCGATGGTGGGCTGTCCTGCGGGACTGGCGTGTCTCCCTCCTCCGTCCTCTGCCTGCCCTGCCCCGCTGTCCACCTGGTGCCCCGCCCCCGCTGCCCCCCGTTCGCCCCCACCCCCTGCCCGCCCCCCGCCCCCCAGCCCCACC